CAGAAGTTGCTACAGTATACCATTTTGGTATACACAAATGGCTTTCAGTCTCGACTGGGTTTTCTATCCAGGGGCTCTCATATAGATATTCTGACACTTTTAAAAGACTGGATAGCAATTGCCTATCTAAATTGGAGGGAAGACAACTCTGGCAACTTGTACTGGACTGTTATTTGGTGTTTATTACATGGTGGACTTTTAGAGGCTCTGTGCTTTGTGTCCCTTGTTCCCAATCCTGCTTCATAAGCATTTTGAAATAATCAGTATCTGACATGAAAATGACCACAGTAATTCCTACCAAAGCATATGAACCTTCCTTCCTTCAGCAACACAGAAACAGTGTCATGAATGAACTCAAACTTGAACTATGTGCTATGCAGCTTCGGTTCCAAGGAGTTCTGAGACAGTTGTTCTCTGAGGAAACTAGTCTAAAGGAAGATGACAGCCCTCCATTTCTACAGGTTATCACAGCTTAATTCCTATTAATAAGTGCACAAGAAAGCTAACACTTCTTGATCCTGTCAGCTAAAACCCCTAATCTGACATATAGCCATACTATCACTGAGTTAGGCTTCAATGCCATTCTCTTGTTTTGTTTGTTTTTTTTTAGTCACCAAAAGAAAAATATTCCAGAGCCAGGTGCTGGTGGCTTATGTTTATAATCCTAGCTGCTCAGGAGACTGAGATCTGAGGATCGTGGTTCAAAGCCAGCCTGGGCAGGAAAGTCCATGAGACACTTATCTCCAATTAACCACCAGAAAACCAGAAGTGACACTGTGGTTCAAGGGGTAGAGTGCTTGCCTTGAGCTGAAGAACTCAGGCACAGCACCCACGCCCTGAGTTCAAGCCCCATGACTGACAAAAGAAAAAAGAAAAAAAAATCCACATTAGGAACATCTTGGCACCTTCTGGAAAATGGATGGTGAAAATGATTTATATTATTGCTTTAAAAATCTTAAGAAAATTAAACCAATAAGAAAATTTATTTTTCATATTTGAACGCTAGACAATAATTTGTCCTATTTTAGATTTGCTTTCAGGCTCGTTAGAAGAAGCACCAGTGGTTCACACCTATAACCCTAGCTACTCAGGAAGCTGAGATCTGAGCATCCAGGTTTGAAGGTAGCTTTGACAAAAAAACAAAAGTGAGCCAGGCATGGGTGGCTCACACTTGTAATCCTAGCTACTCAGGAGGCTGAGATCTGAGGAGCATGATTCAAAGCCAACCTGCGGAGGAAAGTCCATGAGATTCTTATCTCCAATAGACACCAGAAGTGGTACTGTTGCTTAAGTAGTAGAGCACTAGCCTTGAGCTGATGAGCTCAGGGACAGTGCCCAGGCCCAGAGTTCAAGCCCCATAACTCACACACACACACACACACACACACACACACACAAAACAGCAAAAGAGATTGCTGTGTTCAGTTAGCCAGCAAAAAGCTAGAAGTAGAGGTATGGGTAAAGTGGTAAAACAACAGCTATCACCTGAAGGCTAATGAACAATTCCCTGGTCCTGAGTTTAAGTTCCAATACTGGAATTAAAAATTTGCTTTCTTTCATCAGATAAAGATAAGTGTGTCCCTAGGAACCTTGTCTTTTAACCTTATATACCAAGAACCTCAGAAATTTCAGTTTATTGTTCAAAGAAGCTAAGTTAGCATTACTTTTGCCTTTCTATTTTTGTATGTTTTACTCAAAGCCATTATATATCATTTATTGTGACATAGGAAGGGTATGGAGTAGAATTCAGTTCTGTTCAATTTATATCAATATTGAATACTTACTGTGCACTAGACATAGTGCAAAGTCTTGGTGACATGAAGATGACTAACGTTGCTCTCTGATTTTGAAAAGCTATAAATTTATTCAAGGGTAGAAATTATAGGTATGTTGTATATACTACATAATAGGAGATTGATTTTCCTAAGACTTAGAGAAATTGTAATTTCCCCTTACTTTAAGTCATGTACATTGTTTTAGAAGTTCTCCTAATTTCAAGTATAGTTTAAAACATAGATATTAAAAATGTATAGGCATACCTTTGAAACCTGGACCAGGAGAACAGTAAACACAAATGAAGAGACATTTAAAACCTACACATGCTTCTTCTCATTGAGAACAAGACGCTGAAATGTATTCATTATCTTGCCCATGTAATTGTAACCCCTCTGTACAATATGTTCACAAAAAATTAAAATTAAAATTAAAAAAAGAATAGGATAGGTGGCTCATGCCTGTAATCTTAGGTATGCAGCAGGCTGAGATCTGAGGATCATGGTTTGAAGCCTGATCAGGAAACTCTGAGAGACTTTTACCTCCAATGAACCACCTAAACACTTGAAGTGGAGCTGTGACTCATGTGGTAGAGTGCTAGCCTTCAACATAAAGGCTCAGGGACAGCACCCAGGCTCTGAGTTTGAGCCTCAAGCCCCCAAGACCAATACACTCCCCCACACACACTTACTCACTCACACTCACACTCATAGATAACATGCAATAAGCTTGCTTAACAGCAAATGAGAAATTAATTACTGGGGTGTTGATGATAGACATGGAGAAGGGAATGACTTCTTACGGCTATGACATGTTGTGGTGCTGATAGGCCACAGAAAAATGATCTAATTCTATAGCTCCCCATTTCAATAACAGTAAAATGAAGGTATTTGAAATGGGAAATTAAATAGCATTGTTCCCCTGTGAGTGTCACATCCTGAAACATAGTCACTGTTCAGTGTTAGACATTCAGTCATCTGACTTAAGAGGTAGTCTGCATGTGGGGCCAGAACAACGCTAAAACAGGTTTCAAGCCTACAGCAAATCCTTTTTGGGCCATCTGCACAGTGACATTTAGGGATTGAAGAGAGACTTGATTTGGTTTGGCTGTTGCCCAAATGGACCATTGCACAGCGTAGTTGAAGCAAACTGCTACATAGGAAGAGTTGATGGTTGCCTTTGCAAGAATCTTCTGTTGAAAATGCAATACTTTTGCCATTAAAAATGAAAAGCCTAGGGAGTTTTATGAAATAAAAGTGATTTCTACCCATCTTTGTCTTTCAACTATACCTTTCAAATGTGTTTCTGAAAAGGGAGAAGTTATTCAGCAGAGGATTTTATACAATGTTAATAACTGAATCGCTACTTCCGCACCAAGGTTGCATGAAGCAACACAAGATGTCTTTGAGGATAAGCACTCTTAAAGTGGAATGTTTACTCAACTTCTAAAGATCCTCATCCTCTCCCACAACTCCTTTTGCATGCATTTTTTCATCTTCTATATACACATTTCTCTAACTGCTCTCATTTCTTTGTAAGAGTCTTGTGATTGAACACGTGCTATGGTTTACAGATTTCATAAATACATGCAGATCATGGGAATAATGAGGCCAAGGTTTCTGGTTTGCTTTTGTCTGTGATTGCTCCTTCTTGGTATCCTTTGATGGCGGCTCCTTTTTCCCCAGTCTCTTAAAGGTTGATGTATGCCAGGGTTCTTCCTGAGCCTGATCTTCTCTCAACATTTTCTTTCCCTGGGTGATTTCATCCATTTCTGGAACTTCACCCTCCCTCCACCTACATATTCTCCAGTCTTCACATATAGTGAATAGTGCAGTCATACAACTTAGGTTTGGACTCGATTTTAGACTTGGATAAGTTTATTCCCTGTATATACCAGGCAATCTGACTAAGTTGAGGACATGCGGAACATATCAAACATGAAACATCTATCTTCAATGGAAAACTGCCAAATTGGAGATGAGAACTGCCTTCTGTGCATAGACTTCTGGGACCTAATGGCCATATGAGGTATCTCCTTACTTTTTTAATGGTCCAGGAGCCAGATGGCTTTAAGGATAACCTTAGTCTTTCCTGCCATATCTTCTTTCCTTGCAGTATCTTGGGCCTAAACAGTGCAGCCTAAGCATAAAAATGTCCTTTGCCCTTTGGAATTGAACAGTTAGTTTTGATAACCTTTATGATATATAAATAGAATAATAAAACTCATTTTTGAGAGTGAACAACTGAACTTTGTTCAAATTAATTCCCGAATAAACAGCTACCCTCCATGTGCTAGTCATAAAAGCTTTGCGCATACAGGAACTTAATTATTTTTAAAACACATTCATTTTCAAAGATTAGCATACCCTTCAGGGGATGATGTAGCTGGTCTGTTGATTGTCCATAAATTGATTTGCTTACCTCAGTTACTCCTACACATTCAGCTAGCATCACTTTGAAAAGATGTCTTTGTTTTGATTTACTTAAGCAACAGTTTAAATTCGTGAATATTTTCTAAATCATTGCAAAGACACAGGAGAGTTTGAGTCACTGTTGATGAACAATTGCATCATTTCAAAGTAAATGAGTATGAATCATCAATGTGTAGAAACAGTCGCCCCAGAGTATGTAGGCAGACACCAGTAATTTATACCATTCTTGGATTCAAAGGAATTGGATTCCCTTTAGTCATAAGTTAGCACAATCAGATGCTGTTTATTCACATGCCTATTCTCAAATTTGTGTAGTCAGGATAGCGCCAGTTAACTGAATTTTTTATCTAATGGGCTAAATCTTTTTCATGGTCTAATGCAGTACAAAGGCTAATTGTTCCAAAATATATAAGTTATACATACCATTATCATTCTAATAATAAGCAAATGAAAGTTGTTAATTATAATATGTAATCTAACGATTCAGCTCATCTGACCTAAAAGAAGTTATTTTATAAATGACATAATTTTACAACTTGCTCATTACAAGCTTAAGGACAGGCCAGGCAGGATAGCAACTGTTAATCATACCTGCTCATACCAAGAAGTTGTTTCAATAGCATTATTGATTTTTTTTAAATAGCCCGTAAAAAGTATGGAATTATATTGTAGCATGGCTATTTTAAAGAATCCTTTCTGCGAGCCTACGTAAGGCATCTGTTTGGAACATTAACATTAGGAAACAAAAACCTATTCATTCTCTCTCCTCCCACCCCCATCTTTTTGTTATTTTAGACAAACAAAGGTGATGCCCTTGCCAACCGGGTCCAGAACACGCTTGGAAACTATGATGAAATGAAGGATTTGCTAACTAGCCATTCTAATCACAATCATCTAGTGGGGATCCCAAAGAATTCTGTGCCCCAGACACCCATCAACAAAAATGAATCGAGCTTTTTTCCAGAACAAAAGAACCGAATGATCCCACCACATCAAGATAATACCCACTCCTCCTCGGCACCAATGCCTCCACCCTCTGTCGTGATCCTGAATTCCACTCTAATACATAGCAACAGAAAACCGAAACCTGAGTGGTCACGAGATAGTCAAAATACTAGCACTGGACCAGCAAGCCAGGCCAGCAGTCAGCCAAACAAGATACAGACTTCCACACAGGACCAGCCTCAAGCCAGATTGGAAGACTTCTTTGTCTATCCGGCTGAGCAGCCCCAAACTGGTGCAGTTGAAGAGTCAAACCCATCTGCCAAGGAAGAAAGAAACACCAAGTCTAGTGGAGAAGAGGCTTTCAAAGAAATCTTTCAATCCAACTCACCTGAAGAATCTGAATTTACAGTGCAAACACCTGGCTCTCCCCTAGTTGCCTCGTCTTTGCTAGCTCCCAGCAGTGGCCTTTCCATTCAGAACTTCCCACCAGGGCTTTACTGCAAAACAAGCATGGGTCAGCAAAAGCCGACTGCCTATGTAAGACCCATGGATGGCCAGGAACAGACACCAGACATCTCTCCAACACTGAAACCTTCCATTGAATTTGAAAACAGCTTTGGGAATCTGTCTTTTGGGTCCCTCTTGGATGGAAAACCCAGTACTGCCAGTTCAAAGACTAAACTGCCCAAGTTCACCATTCTCCAAACAAGTGAAGTAAGTAATTTTTAAAGTTTTGTTTCATTTTTTTAGTTGGCTTTTCTAATTTCTATTACCAAGTATGCCTTAGAAGCTCTTAAAGTTATTGAGCTGTATATGGAAGCCTTCAAGGTCAGTTTGATTCTTGATGTTCTGTCACCGGTGACATAACTGAGTAGTGCAAGTCCAGTTAAATCTGCGTAACTTGGAATATAAAAAATACAAGCTCTGTTTGTGTGAATGAAACATCTCTATAAAATAGTTTTAAAAAGTACATTTGTAGTAATATTATGTACAAATGAGTAAGAGTGGAGATTTTAATTGGTCTATAAGTCATATAAAGCTCTTGAAAAAATATGAACACCATAGGTGTACACAAGCTACTAAATGGCGTATTACAAATAGAAAACACAAGTTCCTTAAGGTACAAGAAATACAAGTTTGAAAACTGCGCATCCTGAAGTGGAAGGACTTCCTTAAGAATCTTAGTTTCCTAAGTGTCTAGAGGGCAGTGTTGGCGAGATGTTAATATCATTTCAGTGATCTTCAGTCTTCTTTCCCACATCACATTCTTCCCCAGATAAATACCTGTATATCCCTCTGATTCTACCTTTGACCCTTGTTTCACAGCAAAGCACAGTATGAACAACCAAATTTCACTAAAATACTCTGCCTCTTTTAGCAGCTGTTGCCTTGTAAAAGAGAAACCAAAAAGATGCCAAAGTGTCTCCCAAAGGAATGAATCTCTAACTGTTGTATTGTAGACACTGTGGCACGTAGGTGGTGGGCATGTTTCTCAGACACCTTCATGTAAGAGGCTGTCCACTCTGCCTCAAGCATTTGATTGGCAGAAGTCATGGCCTTACATTGGATTCCTTTTATGGGTGACTAAAGGCTTGAAAAGAGGAGGAAAATAGGTTAATATTCTTACTTAATAGGAGTGACAGGCAGTTGGTCTGAATTGTTACAGTTTCCAAGTTAGTGATGTGTGAATTAGAGAAGTCAGACTATGCGAACCCTCTAGCTCATCTTGAATTCATGCACCGTAGATATGGTGATTTAAGAGGATGATAGCAGACCCGGGGCTGTAGGTTGTTCTAGATGTATGTTTCAATATTGTTTGTTTTTTTGTGGTAGAATTTTGCTTATTGTCTCATCATTCATCAAATCTTGTCAAGCTTCCTCCTCAGTCTCTCTCTCTCTGATCTGTCTCTTTTTCTTCATTGTTGCTTCCTTTTAACCACCTGTAAGCATCTCATACCCAGAATGCTGTGTGAGCCCTTTTAACTGACCTTCCTAACTCATCTCATTTGCCTCTAGTCTCTTCTTTACACACAGATCTGACCATGTAAGTCCTTGCTTTTGCTTTTCAGTATTTTCTCATTACTTCCAAAAAACATCCAGCTTTGTTAGCCACATATATAAGGCTCCTTACTCTCTGGTTTCATATTCCATTTCTGGCTTCATATTTCACTACTACTCCAAACTTAGATGAAATTCCATTCATGTAGAACTACCTGGAATTCCCTGTCATATCATGCATTCATGCATATCATGATTTTATTTCCTATCATTACTTTATTATTTTGTCTGCACTCAGTCCCCTCAACCTGGGTGTTGTTAACCACCTCCCTGTATATTAAAGTCGTGTTTCTCCTTCAGGTTTGCTCAGTTGTCACCCTATCTGCGAAGGCTTCCCAGAACCTCTACGCTCAATTACTAAGTGTTTCCTCTGGCTCCTCTAATGCCTTGTTATTAATACCTTGCCCAGCACTTATTTCATTGTATTATAGTTGCTGTCTATGTATCCATCTCCTCTAGTAGACTGGAAGCTCCTTGGGGGCAAGCAATATCTCATTTTTTGCTGTATTCTGAGCGCCTTCCAATCATCTGGCATCCAATAGATTTTCAATAAATGTTTGTTGAATGAATTTCAAAATGGTTACTGGAGTGCATTTCACAGCTATAATGTTAAACAAGTAACATGATGAAAGATAAAAAGGCCAAAAAGTTGGTCTTCAGCTATGTTTCTTGAATCATTTCCTGTTTGTCAGTATCTCCCTCTACCTGTGTGTAATAGAGATTAAGAAATTCTAATCTTAATTTTGACTGGATAACTTAATAGTGGGTTTTAATACTTTAAAACCCGAAAGAAAGCTGAGTTGAATGGTATGCAGCTTGGCCTATCATTCTTGTCTCTTCTTTGTCCTGGCATCTCCTGTTGTCCTCTCTGTCCACAGTAGAGCCATTGGACAGGACTGTTCTGCAAATCACCTTGCTATCATGTTTTCCTGTATTAGTGGAGTGACAGGTCACAGACTTGGTGAAACCTATTCCATTGTAATCCTCTCACTTATTTATTCACAAAATGGCTGACCCAGATTCAGAAATGACTTCACGCTTTCCCTCAATGCTCTGGCACATTTTCAAAGAGTCTGAGTTGTCTTCAGCTCTGGAGATGATTATGCAAGGAATGGTTTATGCATATGCAGCCCTTAGTACTAGTAGAGTTTTGTAGAAAAAAAATGGATCAGGTGCAAGGTAAGAAATAAGTAAAGAGAGTTTATTTCAAAACACAGACTTCAAGAAAGGATTTGTAAAGAGGGGGAGAAGGAAGATTAGAGCTCTAAAGCCAGAGGCATAGACAGAATTTAGAGGTAATTTAAAACCAAAAAGGGGAGGAAAGAAAATGAGAGGTTAAGAAGTCCAACAGAGAGAGTTTAGAAAGACGTAGATTAAAATGTGGGCATAAATATAGACAGGATGGAGCACTATGGAGCTTTGAACCTAATGGAATTTATGTGGCTAAAACTCTGACCATGTCTGAAAATTTACCCTATTAAATCTTGATGCACTCTTCAAAAGCACTTAGTGTTAGAATCCAGCCCCAGATCCTGGCGCCAAGAATTCCAAGCACTGAATTCCGAGTGCTTACTCCATATTGTCATCTTTAATGAGTGGCAAAATTACTTAGAATTATTGCTAAAGATCTTTTAGCCATGGAGCTACAGCAGTATTTCTCAGAGCACTCACAACTGGTCCCAGGTTTTAGTGACAGACAGGAAGCTGACCTGTTGTGTTAGTGAATTTCACAGAACCTTTTTGGGGCATTCAACAATCCCTGCTCCCTTTCACCCCAAATGAAGATAATATTATGTTTGTGTACTGAGGGATTACAAAGCATTATTAAAATATATTGATTTATGTTTATTAAAATATGTTTATATGTCTATACTTATGTAGGGAGACATTTTAATTTCTTATTCTTGACATATTTGCATGCTTCTTAAAATGTCATTATCACAATAGGAATGTTAACATTTTAACCATTATTTTTGCAATGAGCCAGAAGCTTTTCATATGGGGCATCTTACTTAACTAAATAATTTGCTAAAAACTTTATGCTGAAGAGTTTATTACATTCTATACAACTTTAAATAAAACAGGCTAATGTAGTCTATGGTTGGTTAGGCTTGGAAGATTTTTCTGAGAACTGCATCTGAAAAGAATAAAAAGCCTATTTATATCAGGTTAAACCTGAAGGTTGCTTGCAGATGGTGTTTTAATTTAGTATTAATAAATGGAGCTTTAGACATGGTTTTGTTACACATTTTATTGTTTATTTTCATTGTAGTATAAAAATCTGCTGATATAGATAGCTTTCCTTTTTGGTGCAATTTGATATTGGTGTTGTTTGGCAAGTAAAATAATTGTTTAGATGTCTCAACAATAAGGCCAGTACTAATGTGTGAAGTGTCATCACTGCGCTGGGTGATTTGATGTTCAGGTTGCTCTTGCCTGTTATCTGAGACTATCTGAGGCTTCAGCAGCCTCAAAACCAGTTTAGTGGTAGTGATATAGATATAGGATTATTATAGCTTATTTTAGTGGCTAGCTTTGTCAACCAGTTGAAAAGTATGACTCACAAACAGTCACAACTGTAACTGCCTGTTTTGTTTTATATACTGTGAGTATAATTAGCTTCATTTATTCTGAAGTAAATAATAAGCTTAAATCCCTTGTGTGAGAACTGTAGGGAATATTGGAATCTTATCACTGGGATGTTATCACTGGTATTCTGGATGTCTGTGCAGTTACACAGAACTGATCCAGACAGCAACTTTAAAGAAGAGAACAACATCCAGCTGCTATGTGTAATTCATGCTAAGCATAAGCATATATATATATATATATATATATATATACATGTATATACATAAATAAGCATGTATGTATAGACTAAATAATAGACCTGAATATATATATATATATATGTGTGTATGTATACATATACATATGTGTGTGTGTGTGTGTGTGTGTGTGTGTGCGCGCGCGCGCATGTGCTGGTCTATTATTTAGTCTTAGGGAAGTAAAATTGTACTCAGTTCCAGGCTATAACTTGCCTGATTTCAACCACACCAAGAAGGGAGACACTTTTCAATATGCGCACTTGCAGAGTGCCAGGAAAGATTTCATCTTAGCATTTGTGCTTTGGATGTGTAGAATCTAGAATACTTTGTACCCATTCCATTATAAATCAACATCCCCTGGTTGTTTTATTGTTATCAACATGCATTTTCCATATTATGTCTTTCCTCCCTCCCCCAACTTCAGTTTCTCCTTATACTAAGTGAAGCAGCATCACTTAAGCATTCGAAATGGTCATAATGGTAGGGAAACACTTTATGTTCTGTGTGATGGAGAGGTCAGGGATGCTAGGAAGGGACTCAGTTAAGATTTTCATATTTCAGTGATTAGAGAAGCTTCCATAAGGAGAAAATGCTGAAGTGGGATTCATTTACAAGACATTGGTATACAAGAGTAGCCTGCAAAGGTTTTACAGAGAATGCATGAGAGATAGATTCTGAACTGGGCCTTGAATACTCAGTAGAATTAATAATTCTGGACCAAAGTTCACATGTATAGCAGTGATGGATAGATAAAATGGGATATCCCAAAAGGGAAATGAGACACACGTCAGACATATTCTGGAGAAAGGCTAGTTTGTCCGAAGCTAA